TATATATATATATATATATATATATATATATACATATATAAACTTTTGAACTATATACATTTTCTGACTCAGCTCGACGAGCTGAGTCAGAAAATGACTAAATTTTTCAAAAGTTGTGCCATGAGGACGGCTGCAATAGTTAGATTTTTATGAAATCTACTGAAAAGTGATTTTTTCGAATTATACCGGAATTTTCGCTCTGATCAATTCGTGTCTGTAAGAATATCATAGAATTTCAAAAACTGCGTCGAATGCTGCCAACCGCGGGAAAATCGGTTTATTTATTTAACAGTAATTGCAGTTTGAAAATTTAAATAATAGTGTTTTATTAAACTTTCATTAAAATTTTAAGCTCGAAGAGCTCAAAAATTTAAAACTTAAAACTTAAAACTTAAAACAGCTCGAAAAGCTTATAAACGTCACAAGTGAAATTTTAAGCGCTTAGATATGGAATTAGTGGGAAGTTTCAGGGATGTTTAGGGTCAACCGTTTCTCTAATTTTTTTAAGTACATAGTTATTATTTATTAGGAACTAGTTATGTAGATAACTAAATTTTATCTATCGCGAGATCAACTATCTTGGAAAAGTATATGAAATCTTTAAAATGTACAAATTGGGTTTATAACTTTTCCCATGCTATGAATTTTAACTAAAAAGAACCATTTCAGTATTTTAATACCCCGGAGACAAAATTTTCCTTATTCTCTTAATTATACAGATTATATTAGAAGTATGCAACTATTCAAAACTTTAAATCATTCGAGAAAAATCAAATGAAATAATTCGATTAAAAATTCACACTGATGAATATTTGAAAAATTTGTATAGTTCGAAGGATTAGTAATTGTATAACCCAATAAAATACGTATACAGAATTACATTACCACTTTTTATAGTAATTAAAAAATCAACTTTCTAATAGATTTCATAGAAATCTAATTATTGCATTTGTCCTAACGACGGAACTTTAGAAAAATTTAGCTTTTTCCTGACTCAGTTCGTCGAGTTGATTCAGAAAATACATGTAGTTCAAAAGTTCGTATATATAGATATATATTTGTGAAATATAATGCGGCGTGTCACGATGATCGCGTCTTCAATTCATTACAGATCTTTATCAAACTTAACATACTTATTCTACAGATAAATACCAAGTTCAAGTTCAAAGATGAGCTTAATCGGTCAACTAATTTAGAAATGACAGAGTTTCAAAATTTTTAAAATCGTACAACTTCACATTTTGGCAGTTTCTTTCATGAATAACTTTTGAATGATATAACTTATCGAATTTCTGCGAATTGAATTTTAAACCTGATTAAACGAGCTTTAATTTTCGTGTCATTTCATTCTCCTAGACTGAAAATAACCTCTTCGTCTGTAGGTATTTAATGAAATTTTACTATTGCATTCTTCTTTACGATAATGCAAGTTTTTGTTTATGTAAGTAAAAAATCTACTTCCATTTCGGCTGCCAAATGGCAATTTTTCAATTCGGATTCTGATTATTCAAAATAACACATGCTAATCCATAAATAATATTCTAATATTCCTAACGAATCGCCAAGTTTAATAACTGAAATAATTCAAAATAGTAAATCAAAAAATTTTTAGATCGAGCACGTCATCATTCATTTTTCATTTTACTCGGCAAATTCATTTTTATTATAATTGAACCCAAAAAATTAGGAATACGGTTGACCCTGAAGGCCATCCCTGTAACTTCCCGCCAATTCTATACCTAAACGCTTGAAATTGCACTTATGACGTTTTAGAGCTCTTCGAGCTCATAAATACATTTTGTGTATTATTTTGAGCTCTCCGAGCTCAAAAAAATAGCTTTTGTATGCTTTTGAGCTCTTCGAGCTCAAAAGTTCGATAGGAGTTTGATAAAACATTATTTTTTTAATTTTCAAATCGCAATAATTTTTGAATGAATGAACCAATTTTCACGCGGTTGGTGGCATTCGACGCAGTTTTTTAAGCCTCATGGAAAATCTTTGAGTTTATATTGACAGAGTGGAAAAATTCGGAGTAATTTCGAAAAAACGCTTTTTTCGGTTTTCTTTTGTCAACGATAACTCACGAACAAATTAACCGATTTTGACCGGACTGGCGGCGATCGACGTGGTTTTTTGATGTTAAGAGCTGATTAGTTTTTGAAATCGATCGGTAAAGCCGTTTGAAAGTTATTCCAAAAAAACCACTGTTTAAAAAATTTGTTTTTGTAGTTTTTTTGCGATTTCTCAAAATCTACCGGTCCAAATCGGTATAAAGTGTATTGGAAATCTAAGTTTGGTCAAGCCCTTTCGAATGGCACCAACCGCGATAAAATCGGTCAAGCCGTTTAAAAGTTATGAGAGGTTAACACACACACACATACACACACACACACACACACACACACACACACACACACACACACTCGGGGCCGGCGTACTGGTGGTCAGCAGACATAGCAGAACTTCGCAAAATATGCCATCAGCTACGTCGCCGAGCAACGAGAGCCGCGAAACGCTCCCCAAGCCAGGACGAGTATTCAAAAGAGTATAAGCAGGCCAAAAAGACGCTAAACCGAGCCATCAAAGCAAGTAAAGCGAAGTTGTGGAAAGAGATCTGCAATGATCTCGACAATGACCTCTGGGGTAAAGCCTACCAAATTGTCGCCAAACGACTTGGAAAGGCTTCACCAGAGGCACCGAAGTCTCCTGCCATGATGGACAGCATTGTAGCGGAGCTTTTTCCCAAACACCTGCCGCGGGAAAAGAAACACACAACTGAGAACAGCAAAGTAACACCCTTCACAACTAAGGAACTACAAGACGCGGCCAAGTACTCAAAACAGGAAAGGCACCTGGACCTGATGGCATCCCCTGGAATACCCAGACATACTCCTGAACACCTACAACGCATGCATGCTTAGCAACTGGCACGTTTCCCACGGTCTGAAAACGGCAGAGATTGGTTCTCTTAGACAAACGTAAGGGAACCCCCATAACACCTTCGTCATTTAGACCACTCTGTATGCTGGATATTGCTGAAAAACTGCTCGAGAAGCTCATACAAAGGAGACTTCGCAACGACATAGACCGTGCTAGAGGTTTTGCCACCAACCAGCATGGCTTCCGGAAAGGTCACTCGACAGTCGGAGCAATCAAGAAAGTCATAAAAACAGCAACACAAGCATGGTCTGGTAGCCTCAAAGCTCGAAAAGTATGTCTTCTCCTCACGCTAGATGTCAAAAACGCATTTAACAGCGCAAATAGCAGAGATATTTTGGACGCCCTGGAGCACAAATTTGACGTAGAACCGGAGAATCTGGCACTAGTCGACAACTACCGTGACGATAGAAAGCTAATAGTGGAAACTACTGAAGGCCCACAAGAATACGCCATAACGGCTGGCGTGCCGCAAGGCTCAATAATGGAGCCTGATCTATGGAACGCAGACTACGACGAGCTTCTTGAAATCCCATTGCCAGAGCAAGTAGAGCTAACAGGCTCTGGAGACGACGTTGCAGCCACTATAGTGGCAGACAGCGTAGAAGAGGCCGAACTGCTAGTTCGAGAAACCATCGACACCGTCAAGACTTGGCTTGATAAGCATCACCTGAAACTCGCCAAACAGAAAACCGAGACGGTCGTTTTGACACGTCAAAAATGGTTCCCAAAACCATTCGCTATGGACATGGGAGGAACAACACGCACGTCAACAAGGGCCCTGGGCTATCTAGGGGTAATGATAGACGAGAAACTATCTTTCCGCGAACACCTCGATAATGAATGCCAGAAAGCCACTAAGACGGTGTCTAGCCTAGCAAGAATTATGACGAACACTATGGGACCAAGAACCAAAAAGAGGAGAGTCCTTCTGGAAGCAGTCCATTCGGTACTGATTTATCTCAGAGTTGCCTGCGCCTACCGCACAGTTTCCAAAGCGGCTGTATTGGTCATTGCAGGAGCCGCGCCCATCGACCTATTAGCGTTCAAAAGAGCAA